ATTTCGAGGGAGGACAGTTTTGGTTTTGCGAAATCATAGTGTGTAACATTCGTATTGAACCCCCCTAACCCCTAGAATTAGGGTAACACTAATCACGTGATTAATCACATTAATACGATTGGTGGAAGAATTACTTTACAAGTCTCACTTTTCCTTGGGGGGTGGTGGTTTATTAATATTATCGTCTAACATTAACAATCAAGCTTTTATTATTGCCAATCGTCTCTAACAATGATAAGAAAATTCTATTATTTATTATGGCTTTACCAAAAATATACACATTTGTTATTATCCCATGATATATTAATATAACATTAATATTATATTTAGTCGGGAAGTAGCAAAAAAGAAGAAAAGGAAGGAGGAAAAGATGCTTTTAAAATGACAAGGAATGTCAGCTGAAAATGATCAACTCGGTTTAGAAGATGGATAGATATTATCGGATAAGGTAATATTAGTATATAGATATTTAAGCTATTTTTAATTATAACTAACATATGTATGATATACGGCTACGGCACGCCGAGAAATTTACTTGAAAAAAGAGAGATAAATTTAACGGAATTCGCAAATCAAGGAATAATCTCGAAAGGTTTTGAATACGGTAATAATAAAAAAGCCTTGTGTAACTATTGCGTAATTTAATAAATAAAAAATGGAAAATAAAAAAAAAGGTTTTTGAAATTTATTTTTTATATTTATATTTATATTTTTGTGAAAGAGAATTGGTGATGATACGGTTCAAAGTCAGTTAGTAAATGAAGGCAAACCTTTTTTTTTGGCTGTGTAAAAGGAAAATAGGGTTCGAACTTTACTTTAATATGGCGAATAAATAAAAAATATTGATTGACCTATTAATATTCCATCTATAAATATATTAGTACTATATAATATGGTAAGTTAGCCTGTTGCCAAAACAGTTTAAAGGGGAAATTTTAAAAAAAAATGTCAAAAGAGGAGTATGAAAATATGCAGTTTGTATATAAATAAAATACGGCTTACATATAAATAATATCACACAATTAATTTATAAATCGAAATGGGAAAAACATGCATAAATAACAAAGAAAATAGTAAAGAAAATAAAAATAGCAAAAAAAGAATAGATGTGGCGCGCATACTTTTTGCATGGTCGAAGATTTATTTATATTAGAGGTATTTCATGTGTGCGCGAAAAGAAAGGGAAGATTTAAAACGATTTTCTTTTGATATTTAATGTTCGTTAACATTAATTAATTTTTAATTCATTTAATTCATTTATTCCACCTTCTCGTTCACTTTCTCTCATTTCGCACATCATACGCATTTAAATAAACAATTGTTATTCCAGCAATTTATTTATATTATTGTGTATATTTATAAATAATACGATTATAATAAAAATAGATTTTTCTAACCAAATTTATTATCAAGGTTTATTTAGAAATAAAAAAAAATTTTTTTTTAATTAAAAAATCCCATAAATAAAATTTTTTTCTTTTTTTTTTCTTTTTTGCTCTGAAAAATTTCTTTTGAAAAAAAAAAAAAAAAAAAATTAATTTTATTTTGTTAAACGACCACAACGACCTATTTATTTTTATAACAAGAAAATTTTTTTATCATATCGTATATATATAAATAATAATATAGTAAGATTTCACGCAAGATAGATTTTTCTTTATTTACATCAACAACAATAATAATGTCAAAAAATTCATTAAAATCAACAAGATATTCATTAAAATCAACAACGATTCTATTTTGCTTATTATTATGGTTTGGTATAATTAATAAATCATTTATTAATTCAACACCATTACCACAAAACTCTAATAATGACAACAACAATAAGGAGGTTATCAGAGGTGAAGATTTAATATTAGGAAATGGAACTTTACCATACGATGAATTATTGAATTTGGATAACGAGGATGAAGAAGAAGATGATGATGACGAGTGTATGGAATATTGGAAAAGACAAGCAGGGTATGTTGCTTATGCTGATTTCATGAATGGAAGGACGACATTTACACAAATAACCCCTGAACTAGTAAGAGTCACGGGCCAGGTAAACACTGGAATGACCGATCCGGATCCAAAAAATTATAAAATACGTATAGTATATCGTCCAAGTTGTCCTGCTTTCATACGTCATTTGGATTTAACTCCAAAATTGATATATTCCATTAATGTTCCTGGATCTTCAGCTTACGAAGCCGATTTTGATGCCTTTACTGTGCTGGAAATTATTGGAATGTACATACAAGTTGTTCACACTTCTCAAGGAGTAATTGGATATGGACAAATTATTGGAATTTAGATTAGATAAATTAATAATTTAAAAACATCAAATATTTTATTAATTGTGTGTTTGGGGTTTTATAAGGCAAAAGATAGTTGTTAGATATAAAATTATGCAGTGGTTCGTTGATCATAATAATTAAATAAATACATCCACATAATAATACACTTCTTATGTTATTATTATTAATATTTATCATCTCTTATTATTGATTAATTAATTAATTAGTTAATTGTTTCTTATTTAATTTGTTCTTTATTTTATTTTTCACTTGATTTTTTGATTTTTTTTTTGAGAAAAAAAATTTCTTTTGGAAAATGTAAATAATAATAATAAAAAATCAAATGAAAATCAACAATAATACTTGGTTAATTTTGTAATAATTATAAGTAAATAAAAAGCAAATAAAATAACTATAAACAGTAGTTTAATAATAAATGAAAGTGGGTAGTTTTAGAAATACTAATGTGTACCGTGTCACCCCAGATACTTTGGTTGCATTGACACGCTTGTTTAGGATAAGATAGTCATATTTCTACAAAGGACGAGTAACCCTCAAGCGTTGAGTTTTAGTAGAATAAGAGCCTATATGTAAGCCATCAAGTGACACAAGGATAATTTTGGTTTTAAAATTTATCACCGCTGATGCTAAAAATTGGTAATTTATATATAAATTTCTAATTTTGAAGGTTAATTGACACTATTTTGACTCATGAAACTATTTCTGTGCATTTTATTTGCTATTGTTTCAGATTTTGTATCTTGGCAAATTAAGATTTTTTTACATTTTGGGCATGCTGCAACAAAACAGTCAAAGTGAACATTTGGGGAGTTTTCTAGCAAAAACCGGGTATAAGTACACAGTGTATCTTGATTTAGCAGATCTTGATTTTGCGGATTTAAGGGTTTAACGGATAAAATTTTCAAAATCCAATCCATCTATAATCGTTTTGTCTTGATTTAACGGATTTAACGGATTTTTTCATATATATTCGATTTTTTTATGTTCGGCCATAATAAAGATATCTCGATACAACTGATAATGTCGATCGTTAACTAATACAGGCACACAAAAAATCTTTTCTGATACAATACGCTATGATTATTTATTACTTATTATTGTTACTATTACATTTTATTATCTTATGTGTATTTTTATTTGTCGTATCATTATTTTTATAACTAGTTATTTTTATTATATAAACAAAACGAACACAGATCATTCTATTCTCAGAGTTATGAGGTAATGATTCTCCAGATAAACAAGAATTTAAATAGGAAAAATAGTAAGTAAAAGTTACACATCAACTTTTTTGTTTTTATAATATATTAAATATAAATTAATATATTAAATATTAATTAGTATTATTGTACAACATATCACGTGATTGTTTCATCATAACTTGGTTTTGCGGATATCTCGATTTAGCGGATATTTTTTTTGGAACGAACATATCCGCTAAATCGAGATACCCTGTGTATACATAAAACATCAGAAATAAATATTAATCCTTATTTATCAAAAAAACTATTGTTTAACTATAATATGTCTTCAAATTTTGAATCATCTGAAGATTTAATTTTAATTTATGGTGATCTCACATCTAATTTAAATTTAGAAGATGACATGGAATTATCATCTGAAAATTTGATTTTCCCAAGTAATTAGGATTAGGAGCATATGAGCCAAATGAATTGATGCTTAATGCAATTCAAGATTTGATGAAATTATTTTTTGGAGAAAAATCAAATTGCAGCTGTTGTAAAAAAATAAATAGGATATGTTTTGAAAAAATTGGATTTAAAAATAAAAATTTTTAGAAAGTCAATTTCAATTAAAAGGATTAGAAAGATATGAATTAGATCTTTGTATTAAAACACAATTGATGGTTTTTAAATTACAGGATCAAAATGACAAAACAAATAAATATAAATATAATTATCAAATTATTAGCTTTGCGAGATCATTTTAAGTTAGATGGTTTGATGCATCATATTCATGGTAATACTAATAAAATTTCTCAAAATAAATCATGTGTAATTGTTAATCTTGGAATGGCAAATTAGTTAAGAATTTTTTATTGCAATATTCAAATTTACATGGATTACCATCTCCTATGAAAAATTGGAGATGAATTAGAAGCAATAATTAATCTATTTGCCAACTTGTATGAAATATGCTACAGAGTATATGAAGAATTTAAAATTTATTTAATTCAGAATATTGTCACCAATTAATTTTGGGAGAGCATATTTTTAATTGGTGATAACAATTATTTTTGTTTTGTGGATATCAGAATGAATAGGGAGGGATCAACAAATTGGATTTTGGATTATTAGTTGAATGATTTGTCACATTAAATGATTGGAAAGTGTATTTTCCGAAATTTTTTGGTGATCGATGTCGAAATTCTATTAATAAATTAACCACAAACCTTAATTTTAACCCTTTTTTGCTCACCAATCTCCACCAAATTTGAGGCACAAATTTTTCAAGACTTATTCCTTCTTTTAGAGGAAAATTAGGAGAGGTTATTAATAAAATAGAAAAAAATCTTGGTGCTAAAGTTTATCAACCAAATTACCGCATTTGGAAATTAATCATCTATTTTTGGTTATGACTCCTGATAATCTCCTGCCCACAATTTTTTCCTTTTTGTATATTGATAAATAAATTTATCAAAATTTAATATGTTTTTTGGAGTTTTTGCCATTTTCACTAAACTTTAATAAACAACAATCCACATAAAGCTACACCTATATGAAAACTTACAATATTTTACATATTTTCAACCACTCGCCAAGTTTATAAAGGTAATATTGGTAAAAAATCTTAGCTTTGAAATAAAAAGTAATGCTGTTTTTGAATAAACACAGCTTGACATAGAGAGCCTCTATCAATATGGGAGAAAGCTCATTAGAAAGCTATAATGTCATAGCTTTATTTTTGATTAATAATGATGTTTGAATTTGTTATAAAAATAATGAGATATTTTAAACAACTGGTTTGTTACACAAGTCGAATTTTCTATTTTATATATGTAATTACACTTCCTGTGACATATCGTTTGACTTCCGATTTTGATCGACATTCGAAATCATCACGTTACATGATCGACATAGTCAATAAAAAAATTTCACAAAATAATTACTTATTTATTTTTTAAATAAAAATGACCCAATCTAATAAAGGTCCTTGTTCCATTCTTAATTGTAAAAATTCAAAACCTTATAGAAAATTTACTACAGTTTCATATATTAAATCAGTTGATAGTGGAACATTTTCATATTTCAATTATTTAAAAGTCAATGAATCTCAACTTTGCAGGTTCAATCATTTACAAATATGTGAACCAAAAAAAAGGAAAAAACTTGATTCTTTTGAAAATCAAAATATGAATGAAAACTTCCAAGAACAAATCTATAGTTTTACTATTGAAGATTTATTAAATGATTCAAACAATCAAGATATGATGCAAGTTGTAGTGATCACAATCATCATATTCATGAATATTCATTAAGGGGGTTACACTTATCAAAAATCCAAAAATCCCTTAAA